CAGGCGTACTGAGTCAGCCAAGCCTGGGGGTGGTGGCACATGCCTGTAATCCCAGCACTGGGAAGGTTGAAAACAGGAGAATCACTATGAGTCCAAGTTGCATAGCGAGACCCTGTACCAAATATATTTTTTAAAAATTTAACTAAAAAAGATCATAGAGTACATACATAATAAATTACTTTGCCAAACAAAATATAGTCTAGTGACATGCTTAGTATGCCCAGCTATCATGTCTGGCCATGAAACACAGGAAACTTCTACAATCTGATTAAACAAAGTATAGAAACTACAACTAAGAACCTAGTTTCCTCACAGTAGTAGAAAATCAATACTTATTAATCCTACTCTGTGGCCTGCTAAGTAGCCTCCTGCTTCAACTCTTGTTTTCCTCCCATAATCCCAACATGGTACTAACAGTGGCCCTTTTTCTAGGTAGGCCCACCTTTTTTGCTTTAGCAACTGTTGTTCCTCCTTATTCTTTCTCTTCTTATCTCCTGACACTCAGCTGTGTTACTATCTAGCCCCACAGTCGAATGTCCCATTTAGCTGTAGCTTTTTCTTTAGCCATCTCACATCTTTTGTGTATCTTTTTTTAATTCAGTGTGATATGACACCCCAATTTTTAGACTAAATTTCTAGAGAACAGGAACCATCAACTTTTATTTATCAACGTACCTCTAAGTATACAACACTATTTGGGCCATACTAGGTCAGTAATAATTGTGCTTTCTACCACAGATACACAGTATTCATCAGAGCTCAGCAAGTGGAGCTAACTCATTTTAAGAGTACACACAATTACTTCCACTTTGTTTTAAAGGAAATTATAAAATTTAAATGTATATGTCTTATATATTAATTTATGGTTTGCATCTGGAAGAAACTATAAGACAACACTAGCAAAAGCTACAGCTGTAGCATAGACATATCATTGCTTTTTATTGATTTATCTTTTTCTGTATTTTCCACAATTTTTGGTATAAACCTGCAAATTTTTTAAGCATCATAGATAAATAAAAGCCAGTTCAGCTGTATACCTGTTCCCCCCCAGGGAGTCCTGTAGCAGTCTTGTCAGCTTGGAATCTCGATAGGGGACGTGGCTGGCCCTCTTGCTCTTGTCTCCTAACGCGCTTATGACATTGCCAAGTGCCAACTACGAGAGAGAGACCACATGAACTTACTCACTGTAACACACATTCACATGTGTGCACTCATAACTTTAATCTATTAGAACATGCTTGCAGTACATTACATTCATTGTAGAGAGTGGCACACACACATATCTTCTAACTATGCCTGCGGCATCTATTGTGTCTGCAGAAAATTATCAACTCATGTTGAAATCTCTCAATGAAGAAATAAAATGCTTAGCGAAAGAGTTTCTATAAATTTTTATTGGAAAATAGAACCCTTACATAATGAAAATCTTCTTTAACCACCATAACAATAAGATTTGTCTGAAAATCTTTGTAAGAAGAATTTCTTGTACAAATACAATTTTCCTTGGAAATACAATGAAACTATGTGCTAAGCATTCATGTTTTAAAAAGCCAAGTCAAATTATGAAACCTTACAGTC